TGATCTGTTTGTGCAGAAAAACGGAACTGATTTTGGGTTATTAAAATGTAGACAGAGTAAATCAACTCATAATAATTATATATGGTTTTCGCATCAGTACTACGGTTATCATTATGTTGGTTTATATCACTGATATTGTTGTCATTGCTTGAACAATCAAAACTATTGCTATTTAACAGAGATATGCTATTATAGCTGGCGCTGTGATTCAGAAATCTACGTCTTTACTTGCTATTTTACCATTCATGAACTGTTTCCGCATCATACTTCTCGATTTTGTATTCATTTTTTCCCTCAGTCTCTCATCTTATCTCAAGCATTCCATCTCTCGATATAGATTTCTACCAAAGTATGAATTTTATCTGATATGCAAACCAAAATGAAGCTGTCGACAGATATTGCTTTGATCAGCTGAACGGTCACGGAACTTATAAATAGCTGAACATTTCAATGGGCGTCTTGTTGATCGGTGTATGACGGATAATTATGTTAGCGCAAGGCATGAAGTGAATGGCGAATTCAATATTTGATTTAATCTGCTGCGATAACATCTGTTCCTTATTTGGTAGATCTCGAACACTTACTCATTAAAATATAATAGGTTTATATTATCGTCAGAGGAGCATCTCCTCGTAGAATCTAATAAATAACTATTTCATGTCACAGAATCAATCAATAAATCATCTGAACACTGTCTTTTCAGTTTGTTTATCTTTTAAGTTCGATAATCTCTCAAGACCTAACGAAGCGTAATCGGATAGTTGTTCTTGACTTCCTNAAATAATTGTTTCAAATAAATATCTGATTCGAAGTGGCAATTAAAGTGATGAACATTGCTGATTTTTGTGAGTGTTGAGTGCGTTGGTTCAGATTGCACGTTGGAATCCAGTGAGAAGTAACGAAATCACTCACCAATATGATAGTTCTTTTGTAACACGTCGATCATTCGCAGGATCACACCATCCGATGACGCATTAGAATGGTCACCGACTTGTACTGCATCAATTATCTGTTTGGTACGTGATGCATCCAATTGTTCTGCGATCATATTCCTAGAAATGAGCGATCACTCAACAAATATCATCGTCAATGTCTACGGACGCTTAATGAAAGCGGCGCTATAGCTCCTCGTAACCTCACCTAAGGCAATATTGCTTAATTTATTGCCGAATATCGCTTATAATGAAGTTTCATGGAAGTGATCAGTGACGATAAATGTGAATTGGTGAGTGACATACAAGAAAGCACATCCGAGCATCATGTGATTTTCGAATCAAATTTCTTTGCAAGCCCCACTTCGCACAGCAAATTTTTAGGCGTAAGGCTGTTTGCAGCAGACCTTTTGACACTTGTTTCTTCCTGCTCAGTCAGCAAATACAACGAATAAAGCTATTATTTTTTA